GTAATAAATTGACGCTGAGGTGCGTGCACTTGTTGCTGTTGAGTTGCATGCCCCTCGCTTGGATGAAGCGGTCGACCATCCTGACAAGGTGTTGTTGATCGTCAAGGGAGGTCGACATGAGAACCAGGTCGTCCGCATAGCCCAGGATGCTGTAGTTGTTTTCCCGGAAAGGGATGCCGGCCTTTGAAGTTTCGAGTCTGCACAAGAGCTCGTCCATGACGGCGTTGAAGAGAAGGGGAGAGATGGGATCTCCCTGCTTGACGCCTCGTTCGATGTTGATTGGCGGCGAGGTGTGTTGGCCGCAAGAGATGGTGGTGGAACAGCCCGTCAGAGATGAGATGATGTATCTGATGAAGCGGGAGTCCACGCCCAAACGAACGAGGGCCCGCTCAATGACGGGGTGGGGGACTGTGTCGAAGGCCTTGTGCAGGTCGAGGGTTGTAACGTGGTAGGGCCTGGTGTGCTCCCGTTGGTGTTGGATGAGGGTCCACAAAGTGACGGCGTTGGCAAGGGTGCCGTCAAGAGAGACAAAGCCTCTTTGGGACCTACTGAGAGGAAGGGTGGCGAGCCTTTTGGCCAGAATACGGTGAAAAATTCTGACCAAGAGTGGGGCGACGGTGATGGGCCTCCAGTTGTTGATGTTTTCTAAGTTGGCCATCCCTTTTGGTATCAAGGTGGTACGGCATCTACGCAGTGTGGAAGGGGAGGCTCCGGTAAACAACATAAAGTTGAATAAAAGAGCCAGACGTCGTGTGGATATTTGGCTGACGTCGCGCAGGCGCATACCATCTGGACCAGCGGAATCAGACATCTTACTGCGTAATTGATTCCGAATGTCCTCTTCAGTGACGGGAGCGTAGAGAAGATTGTGTGATGACCGTTTGGTGTCACACAATGTAGGAAGGCCCTTGTTGGTGTCAGGCGCGGCAAAGATCCGGGAGTAGGCTCCATACAGGTCATCGGGGTGGGGGGTGGTCGGTGGTTGCTGTAAGTCAAGACCATCGATGACCTTCTGGGCAAGCATGGCTCTGTTGGTTTTGTAGAGCTCCTGGGCCAGTCGATAGCGGTTGATTCTGGCTCGTCGCTTCGATTGTTGTTGAGCGGGAGCCCTTGGGGGTTGGGGGGTCGTAGCACGTCGTGTTGTTGTTCCACGTTCACCGCGAATGCGGAGAAGAAATTCTTCCAGGATGATTTCCGCATTCGTGCCGGAACGGAGGAGTGGTTGTAGTAGGGTGATGTCCCCTGCGTCGGTGGTGTCATAGTTACTCCCGCCGTTTACCCGCGCTTGCTTGAATTTCTTCACGTTGACATTCAGAGCACTGGGCAGAAATCACATTGCGTCAACACCCGCTGGGGCCATCGCAATGCTTTGTTTTAATTAGACAGTCGGATTCTCCTAGTCCGTGCCAGTTCTGAGTTGACCGTTAAATGGCGGCCGAAGAGGACAGCCGGCCGCGACGCGAGCCGCAAACCGACGCCTCGCAGCAAGGAAGTTCCGCGGGAGGCCAAGGCACGGGACCGAGCTCGGATCCGACACGGGCACGAAGCCCGCGCCATCACCTCGCCCAGGCCCGGCACGTCAGCCAGGACCCGCTTCCCGACCAAGCCCGACACGCCCCGATCCTCAGAGCCAATCCTTATCCCGAAGTTACGGATCCAATTTGCCGACTTCCCTTACCTACATTANACCATTTCCGGAACAGCGGTAACTAAAAAAGTTGAAAGGGGTTGTCCGCAGGGGTCGTGCTCCGGCCCGCTCCTGTGGAATGTTTTATATGATACAATTTTTAATATCGCATTACCGGCCGGATGCAAAATTTTTTCATTCGCGGACGATACTTTGCTCGTCGTCGAGGCGCAACAATATAAATCTCTTAAAAGTAAGGCCAACCAAGCACTCGCTATGTTGTCTGATTGGGCGGTAGATTTAAAATTACAGTTCAACGCGGAAAAAACTGAAGCTCTATTTTTTGGCAAAAAAATCAATCAACAGAGACCTGCATTTACCTTAAACGGGCGATTTGTTCACTGTTCGGAAAGCATAAAATATTTAGGAATAATGATTGACGAAAAGTTTTTATGGAAGTCACACATTCAATATGTGGTCAATAAGAGCAAAGAAATTTCGCATAAAATCGCGGCGGCCGCTAGACTCACGTGGGGTTTCAGGGGCGCGGCTTTGGCAAAAATTTACGAGGGCGCGGTACAATCGGCGATGCTTTACGGGGCACCGATTTGGGCTGAAGGTTGTAAAGTTAAAGAATGCAGGTCTCTTTTAAGCGCTCAGAGAATATTGACAGTAAAAGCAGCGACGGCGTATCGTACTGTTCCATCGGAAGCGGCATTTGTGTTGAGCAAAATTCTGCCGTTTGATATTCTGTTGCAGGAAACGGCGAAAAGGTACCGCCTTTTCACCGGCCACCCTAGCAACAACGACCTTGACGGACTTCAACTCCAGGACCGACAGCTCGAACGTCGCGTCAGCCTAGCCGACACAGTACATCCTGCGGACATGGACAACTTCCGGTTTACCGAGGGAGTCCAGGACGCCTACAACACAGTGATCTATACAGATGGTTCTAGATTGGACGACGGACGGGCTGGAGGATCCTTTATTTTGTTCAACGGAGACGCCGAGATCCATCGGGATAATTTTACCCTCGCGGAACATAGTACTATCTTTCAGTGTGAAATGATAGCACTACGACAAGCACTTACACATCTCCGAGGGCATTCGGATATAATCAAGGAGTGTTCCATCGTTACGGACAGCCAGTCAGTTTTGACGGCCCTTCGCAATATGAGACAGCCAACTACTCTACAACTGGAGACGTGGGAACTCGCGGTCAATCTGGCCAGAGAAATTTCCCTACGTTTCCACTGGACACCGTCGCATTCTGGTAATGCGAAAAACGACGCCGCGGATCAACTTGCGAAAGCCGCCGCCACCGACCAGGCGACTGCACCGATTTATAATTTGGCGCCCAGGACACTCGTCAAGCGACGTCTACGCAATCTTTTCCTGGAGGCTTGGAAAGAACGATGGAGGACTGCTACAAAAGGAAGGACTACCGCGAGCTTCCTGCCGGATCCCTGTTCGGCTCGGTCCGTAACTCCGACTTGCACCCGTCGTCGTTTCGCGCTCGCGGTCGCGGTCGCGGCCCCGTGGGAACGCTCTGGAGACCAAGACGCTGCGGAAGACTGAAGCCTGCACCCCCATCCGTCTCACTCTGCTGTCAAAAACAAGCGCGGTGGACATGGAACAGCACCACAGCGGTCGCGGACCGGAAGAGCCTGGAAGACTGAAGCCTGCACCCCCAATCGTCTCAACCCATTATCAAGCCAAAGCGGTGGATATGGAACAGCACCAGGACTCGGAACCTCCAAAACAACTTGGCTTCGGGAAAGCGATGATTCCACACGAACGAAACGCTCGCAATATACAAAAATCACACGTAATATTCTTTCGTCGGGTCTTTTTCGCGCTTTCGGGTTTTACTTCGAGTTCATATTTCGCGTCGTTATACAATCCGAATATTTATCGTGTGCTTTATATTTTACAATATTTGGCGGGAAAGCAAGGAAAGTTGTTTTTATTCTTTACTGTTTGATTACACATTAACGTAACGTAAATTGTAGCTTATTTGAAGCAATACAGTTCCTTACTCTCCAGCCAAATATCCTAGGTTAAGAAGGTGGTCTAGTTGGGTTTTTTCCTGGGTTTCCCCAACCCTTGCAACGAATATTGGACCATATGTACATATTTCCCAGAAATTAACTTCGTACAGGCCCTCCTCCCTCTCTGCTCAAATTCCCCTTTTATTGTAAATAATATATACAGTTTCTTACGAAGGTTTCTGTCTTTTGCGCGAAAGCAGATGGAGGAGATAAAGTAGGGACATTTTATAAGGAGTTAATTAACATAATTTTATCTTATATATATATAGTTAAATATTTTAAAAAATGTAAATATTATTATCGTGTAGAACGCCGCTGTAGTACCTTCGGGTGGGGCAGCGGCACCATTGTAAATATTCCAACAATTAAATCGTATTGTCTTAAGTGTCGTGAGCGAACAAAGTGCCATGGAGTGCAGCAGTGCTTCTACGAAACGCAAGAATGTAACACAATGGGGCGAAGAAGAACCAGACTTTTTAAAAGCGAGCGAAGGGAAAAATTGCGTCGTAGAGACAGTGGCGAAACTTGTCAAATCTTCGGGAATAAGCCAGAAGATACTATGAGTGCCAACGTTAGGCGATTGTACAAAATAATTCGGGAATTAATCCCGTTAAAAGCCGACACAATAAAAATCGCGGACCGTCGGGTAATTCGAGAGGCAGCGGACCAGCTTATGGAGGAGGTTGTCCAAATGGCGGGAGTCGTTAAGGAGCTGCGGCATACCATTTCCGGGAAAGACGCGGAAATAAAAGAAGCCAGGGAGTCTGCAGTAAAAACTGTAAGTACGCCATTAACGCCATTAATGTCTTATGCCGATAGATTAATGGTAGGGAAGCAACAAATAAATAGGGTTAGTGAGAATAGCTTTTCTGTAAGGGTCGAATCAAGAGATGCAGGAAAAGGCGCGGATTACATTAAAAAAGTAGTATTCAAGACGGTCGATCCGGTCAAGACTAATATTGCGGTTAAAAACATAAAATCGACTAAATCAGGTGACTTAGTTATTGATTGCGCAAGGAAAGAGGACGCGGAGAAGTTGAAAACTTCTTTAGCAGTCAACGCTAAAGAATGGGTAGCTGTTAGGGACATTAAAAAACGTTGGCCTCGCGTTAGGATAGATCGCATTAGCAAGGAGTTGAATGCAAAGGACATCCACGAAACTATATTAGGGCACAATGATTTTGTAGACGAGCACTGCGGCAATGATGTCAATAAATTTAAGGCGGATTTTAAACAATTAGCGGTTGTTGAGAACAGGGGAAATAAAGATTTTTATAGCGCGGTTTTTGAGGTAAATCCCATTTTAAGGAAAAAATTATTGGATAGGCCGATTAACTTAAATTATAGCAAATTATTTCCTACAACATTACGATGTCTCATTATTGGATCTTCAAACTGTGAAGAAACTATTGTAATGGCCAGTTTAATTGAACATCCAAATGGTTTAAAATTTGAAAATGTTTACGTTTATTCAAAGTCATTCTACCAACCTAAATATGATTATTTAGAAAAAATTACTGAAGCCGATAAATGAAATAGGTTATTATTGCTTCAGTAGTAGCGAAGATATTATGAATCCATCAGAAACTAAAACAAATTCTATATTTATATTTGATGACGTAGCAACTGATAAACAAGACGTAATTCGTGAATATTTTAGCATGGGACGTCATAATTACATAGACTGTTTTTATNTGGGACGTCATAATCACATAGACTGTTTTTATCTCTGTCAAACCTACGCAAAAATCCCCAAACACTTGATAAGAGACAATGCAAATTCGTTAATTTTATTCAAACAAGACGAATTGAATTTAAAACACATTTATAATGATCATGTAGGAGTAGATATGACTTTTAATGAATTCAGCTCTTTGCTGGCAGGATCCATTTGTTTTTTATCAATATTTAAAGATAACAAAATAAACGATGGGCGTTATAGAAAAGGATTTGATTATTATATTCTGAAATGAAGAAAAAAGTTACGAGCAGTTTCAAAGCAGTTCCAAAGCAGTTATCAGCAGTTCCAAAGCAGTTATCAGCAGTTCCAAAGCAGTTACGAGCAGTTCTAAAGCAGTTATGAGCAGTTCTAAAGCTGTTAAAAGCAGTTACAAGCAGTTATGAGCAGTTCTAAAGCTGTTCAAGCAGTTCCAAAGCAGTTACAAGCAGTTATGAGCAGTTCCAAAGCTGTTAAAAGCAGTTTCAACAAGTTAGAAACAGTTTCCAAAGCGGTTCAAAGCAGTTCCAAGCAGTTAGTGTAAGCTTTATGCAAAGCTGGGACCCTCGTGCGTCCGGGGGGCGTGGGAGGCATTCTGGATGCGCGGGGAAAAGGAAGAGAGCAGTATGAATGACGACGGCGACGAACGAGAAGGGGCACGAGAAGGGGCGCGAGAAGATACCTAATTAAGTTAATTTCTATATTTGTTAGTTACCTTCCGAACTTTGTTTTAATAAATATATCCGTTAGTATTTCTTAAAGGAAGTGAGTTTTTAGTGCAGCGGTGAGATACCTTTGGGTCTTACGATAACCCGAATGGTACCCATTACCTTCGTTGGGAAAACAAACCGAAGGCAAGTGTGAGTGAACTGAAAAAAAAAAAACTATAAAACAAAAAAGAAAAGCAAGTTTTATTTTTTTTAATTTTTTAATAACTATTTTAATAACTATTGTGGTACGTGTTTAATATGCATTTCGTGTTTGGTAATTCCCCGGTGTGATTCACGACAAGACTCGAGACGAAGCCGATCGCTAGATACCAAATATCATCCACGCTCTACCGTTAACGCTTACGTCGCGCAGTGGTCGCCTATATTCCAAAACACCGTCGGCGTAGGTCGGAATATTATTAATTATTATCAACAAACAAAAGCAAGATGGGAAAAGAAAAATCGTACCATTCGAACTCAGAACGGAGATCAAAAACCAAACATACATCAAAAAGTAGGTCACGTTTTGAACGTTTTAGTTCTGAACGAACTCGAAGGTCGCGGAGTCCGCCGCCGCGTGAATCATATACAGTACCCAACGAAAGAAATGAACAAATGGACGATAACCTTCGAATACAAAAATTAGAAGAATTGGTTGACAGATTGATAAGACAACAATCAGTGTCGAGTGAAGGAAGTTCGAACGTGATCCGGATGACCATCAAAGCCGACTGTATACCGGAATTCGCCCCAGGGAACCCAAATTTAACCTCTACAAAGTGGGTAGACAAAATTGAGCAATTGGCCCTTATCAATAAATGGGATGAAAATATGATTGTATATCACATGCAAAGTAGACTTACAGGATTGGCACGTACATGGTATAATAATTTGACTACTTACGATTATTCTTGGAACGAGTGGAAAGAATTAATAAAAAGAACTTTCCCTGATCATCATGATTTTTCAAGCACCCTCAAGAAACTGGTTGCAAGAGTCAAACAACGGAACGAAACCATGACTCAATACTACTTTGGAAAAATGGATCTGCTACACGCATGCAAGATTGATGGCAAAGACGCAGTTTCATGTTTAATTGATGGAATAAACGACCGAACATTACAAAATAGTGCCAAGGCTGGTAGATATGATACCCCAGAACGTCTGTATGAAGAATTCCTTTCCACAATTACAGACGAAATTATTGAAGACACCACCTCTGATGATCTCAACATCGATAAACGTTTTCGTCGTCGGTTTGATAAGAAACGACTTAAGTTTAAAACACACTCGGAACAATCCCGGCATCTCTCTTTTGCGCAAGAACCCCGAAAGAAAAGAACCATTTCATGTTACAATTGTGGCTCAATAGGTCATGTGTCGAGCAACTGTACAAAACCGAGGTTGGAATGTACGAAATGCCATTTTCTCGGACATAAAGCTGATGAATGTAAAAGATGGTTGAAAAAGAAAATTGAAATCAAAGTAGCTGAATGTAACGACCAGCAATTCTGCTATTTTGTCGATTGCCTTATCAATGGACAACTCACGAGAGGATATGTGGACACTGGATGTAGTGTAGTGACCTTACGACAATCTGACGCTGACAAATTGAAACTTACCCGCCAGAATAGCACAAAACATATTAAAGGCTACGGAGGAAGCCGTGTAGAGGTCATTGGTGAGACGATGGTAACTCTTAAAGTGGATTTGATGGAAGCCGATGTGGAAGTTCTCATAGTAAACGATTTTGTACAGTCTGTGCCTGTAATTGTTGGACAATCGTTCATCAATCAAACCAACGCAACTTTGGTCATCCGAGATAATCAGCTTAGATTATTTGAAAAACACCTAGCGGCTCTTCCCGAGATCGACGAATTAGAACCAAGAAAAATTACTCTTTGGGCCCAGGATGCTGTGGTAATTCCATCAAACACAATTGGAATTATAAAGGTTATGTCAGACAACTACGATGGAGACGTTTACGTAAAGGAAAGAGTGTGCTCCAAGCCGTATCATGAATACACCATTCCTAGGTGCGTGACAACTACCAATGGTGGAGTTATTTCGTTACGTAACCTGTCCACAAACGATTTGCATGTGCCAAAATTTGGGCTGCTAACGAGAGGTTGCCCGTGTAAGCCAGAAACCCTTCAAAACGAGGTAAGTTCACTTCACATTAGTGCATGCGAATTGAAACCTTTTCAGGAAAACGATATTAATGACCAAGTCAATGCGGATTTATCTCCTGAAAATAAGAAGATGTTATTAAACTTGCTAAATTCTTACCGGGCTTGTTTTGCCCAAACAACGAGCGAGTTGGGAAAAACCAATGTCACTGAAATGCAGATACGCCTCACTAATGATGATCCTGTCACTTATCGGCCTTATCGGTTATCCTTCGCAGAAAGAGAAAATGTAAGAGGAATAGTTGACGATCTTTTAAGTAATGGAATCATACAAGAATCATTTTCACCCTATTCAAGGCCTATTCTTTTGGTGAAAAAGAAAACTGGGGAAAGCCGCATGTGCGTTGATTACCGGGCCTTGAATGCGAAAACGGTAAAAGATCGCTATCCGCTACCAAGGATTGACGAATACGTCGATCGTCTACGGGGAAGCCAGTACTTCACGAGCCTGGATCTGGCATCTGGTTATCACCAAATCGCCATGGCCCCGGAATCGATACCAAAGACAGCATTTATTACCCCTGATGGCCACTACGAATACCTACGCATGCCTTTCGGACTGGTAAATGCTCCGTCAGTATTCCAGAGGGCAATAAATTCTATTCTAGGTAACCTGCGTTTCACTACTGCGCTTGCCTACCTAGACGACATCCTGTTGCCAGCCACCGACTTTGATTCGGGGCTTAGATCACTCCAACAAATATTGGAAACATTTAAAAAGGCCGGTATGACGTTTCGACTATCTAAATGCTATTTTTTCCAACCATCAATAGAATATCTGGGTCATCAAATTAGCAGTCGAGGTATTCAGCCAGGCACAGCAAAAACTAAAGCAGTCAGTTTATATCCCCGACCTCGAAATGTGCATGAAATCCGTCAGTTTGTCGGATTGACTAGCTACTTCAGGAAATTTGTCAAAAATTTTGCCTTGATAGCAAAACCGCTGACCGATCTCACGAAAAATGAGACTCCTTTTGTATGGAATGACGAGCACGAACAAGCATTCCAGACACTAAAAAATAAGCTAACAGAACGACCAATTTTGGCAATCTGCGATAGAAACGCCAATACTGAATTGCACACTGATGCCTGCAAGAACGGATTGGGAGGCATTTTATTTCAAACACAATTAGATGGAACGCTTAAACCCGTGTGTTACTTCAGTCGAAGAACAACAAAAACCGAACAGAAGTATCACTCCTTCGAGCTCGAAACACTAGCAGTCGTACAATCCATGCAACAATTTCTAGTGTATTTATTAGGAATTTCATTTAAGGTTATCACTGACTGAAACGCTATCCGAACGACAATGACGAAACGAGACCTGATCCCACGAATAGGCAGGTGGTGGTTAATCACACAAGAATTCGACTTCACCGTGGAGTACCGAGCAGGACACAAAATGGCTCATGCCGATGCTTTGAGCAGGAATGCTGTCCTCGAACCAGATGAAAAGACTGAAGAAATAATATTGCAAATAAATATTAACGAAGATGATTGGGTTCTTGCAGCCCAACTTAAAGACGAATATTGTAAAAATATATACGAAATCCTAAATAAAATCCCAACAGACACAGAGGAAAATCGAATACATAACGAATTTGTATTACGCAGTAATAGAATTTTTAGAAAAACGCCGTTTGGAGACAAATGGGTGGTACCGAAGACTGCTCGCAGTCAAATTGTTTTTAATCACCACGATAGCGTTGGTCATTTCGCGCTCGACAAAACGTTGGAACTAATTAAAACAAAATATTGGTTTCCAAACATGAAAAAATATGTAAAACGATATATAGCCTGTTGCCTTGCATGCTTATATAACAAAGAATCACCAGGCAAACAACCAGGCTTTCTACACCCGATTGAAAAATTTGATGTACCAATGCATACGTTACACCTTGACCACCTGGGGCCATTTGTACCAAGCAATACGAAAAACACGCACATTCTTATAGCAGTTGACGGATTTACAAAGTTCCTCTTTACAAAAGCTGTACGCTCTACCAAAGTCGGGCCAGTGTTAGCATTTTTGGACGGCATATTTAACATGTTTGGCGTCCCCAAAAGAATAATTTGTGACAGAGGCAGTTGCTTCACGAGCAAAAAGTTCACCGATTACTGTCAACAATTAGGCATCAAAATAAATTTCAACGCTACTGCTACGCCGCGTGCGAATGGTCAAGCAGAAAGATACAATAGGACCATTTTAGTGTCTCTTGCTGCTTCATCCGACGACGAAAAACACTGGGACCAAGCTTTACGCGAAGTAACCTGGGGAGCCAACACGACAAAAAGTAAAACGACAAATAAGGCTCCATATGAATTATTATTGGGCTTTTTACCACGACAGGCAAACGACGCCTATCTGAGTACTGAAGTATGTACTCCTGAACGAAACACCGATTTAACAGAAATACGAAACGAGGCAGCCAAACGTATTGAAATGTNAAAACTGACTTATGAAGAAGCATGTAACTTTTTTAAAGCGAAAAGGTGTCATATTTGCTATAAACCATTTACTCATGAAAATATTAAAGTAAAAGATTATACGTAAACAAATGAATTATTGATTAAAACAAAAAAAACAATCGACTGCGTAAATATATTGTAGTTGTACAACCTTTCGTAATGGCTATTTGAAACCCTTTATTTTCATACACGACTCGACAGATTTTAAGAAAAGTTCCCCTTTTGTTTATTCGCAAGCGCCGCTTATATTCCACTTTTGTATCTACGCTGGACTTATGGTCTCTCCCCTAACATCTCTTGAGGTAGGGCAAATACGGCAGGGAAGAGAAATTTTCACCAATAAACGAACACAATCAGAAGAGTATGTATAGCTAAGAAAAAACGAAGGAACACGGTAAGCTACGCAGAGATTAAAGTAAGTACACATTACAAACAAAATTTTTCTTGCAATAACAAAGGATTAAACCTTAACAGTGGAGATACTGCATTCACCGACACATCCGCAAAAGTCGATTGACGTGTTCGAAATGTCCGCCAATGAGAGCACGCGAGTGGCTCGCGCGTCGTTTGTTGTTAACTTCACATCAATGCCAATGCTCTGAGATTTAAATTTTCAACGACACGTACTTTATCGACATTTTGTAAAGGATGTAAAATGTCCAGGGTAGGAGACTTGAAATATGGGGGAAAAATGTGTATGTCTTTTTTTAAAGAAAATAAAAGTAATTTGATTTTTTCGTTTCATATTTACCATTGTTACTAACGCTTCTTTATGAAATAAATAATGCTGAAATTTCTAATTAATTAGAAATGTATTAAATTACACTGACTTTTTTGCGAAATACTACAGGCCAGTGTAGATACTTTTTTCAAAGTTAAAATGCAGTTATAACTAAACTATGTTTATTAAGGTATTGTAATTTACTGATAACAAAGTTAACGTTATTATTATGTGTGTATTCATTTTCCACAAATTCAGAGATACGAAACGATGCAGCCAAACGTATTGAAATGCTGCAGACACGTCAAAAAAAACACTACGATGCCAAACGCAAGGCTGCACCCATTTACAAAGTAGGCCAACACGTTCTGGTCCGAAAAGTTATTACCACGAACGATGGCAACAGTAAAAAATTGTTGCCAAAATACAGTGTTCGTTACGTGATTACAAAGGTATTATCTAAGGATCGTTTCGTAATATCGGATCTACCCGGATCGACGAGGTCCCAGAGACCGTACAAAGGTATCGTCTCGGTAGACAAATTGAAGCCATACGAAACGGCACACGACAATGATGACTACGAAAACATTATTAAAGACGACGACGACAAAGACACTCGACACGAAAAAGAGTGAAAAAAAAAAAAGTGATCACTAAACGATAATCTTAAGAATGTCATAGACATCATTCTCACGTTCTGAATGATTCGCTACTCATGAGAAATGGCTAAATTCACCACGCGTGAATTGCGCAAAACAGTTACAAACGACAGTAACTGTGTTATAAAGTATGAAATACAACTATCATAACGTTTACTAACTCACAACTATTTTCTTTACATATTCTGAACTAATATTAGTTAATTACTAGGTACTGCTGGTCGGCGAGGACGCGACCAACGGCAGCGTGGCCGAGCTGTAAGCTTTATGCAAAGCTGGGACCCTCGTGCGTCCGGGGGGCGTGGGAGGCATTCTGGATGCGCGGGGAAAAGGAAGAGAGCAGTATGAATGACGACGGCGACGAACGAGAAGGGGCGCGAGAAGATACCTAATTAAGTTAATTTCTATATTTGTTGGTTACCTTCCGAGCTTTGTTTTAATAAATATATCCGTTAGTATTTCTTAAAGGAAGTGAGTTTTTA